GGGAAAGATTTGAGCAGCGTTGCCCAGCCCTTGCTGTGTGTGCTCCGTTCTCAAAACAGCGAAACTTGTTTTACCAAAACATGTTCTCTTCTCTCTGGTTTTTTTTCAGCTGTTGTGAAACTCTTGGTCCCACTGGTGTAATACTCAACAGCATACTTCTACCCAATAAGTAAACATTTAATAACAAACCTTTTGGGTATTTAGAGAGCCACTAAAAATGTAAAAGATGTATTTCATTAATGCTGCTATTAACATAAATGTAAAATGAGCCTGGCCTGTAATCACCAACAAGTCTGAATCACTAAGGATCTTTGTGGCAATGTTTAATACTCGGTAAAAGTGTATGTATGAAAGCAATTAATCAAAGCACAGCACTGTTTCTAGAGTATTTCTTCTGCTGTAAAGCTGAGTGATAACTTAAAACACACAGCAGTAGTGGCAGTTAATAAGCTTTTTATAGTCCCTGTGTGGACCTGAAAATCATACCTTATTAGTATCTTTATCTTTCTTGCTCACTCATTCATTCTTACTCACATTTAAATTTCATTTTAAGGGTTATTTCTAGTCTTTCATAAGGGAGCTGCTTTAATAATCTCAGCATTTTTCACCATTTGCCGTGAAATGACTGGGAGCCAGAGCTTTTGTTATATGTACTTTACAAATCACTCTGTTTTTTTACAGATCATTTCTGGAGATGTCAAGATTTTATGACATTGTTAGGCTTTGTATCTTTCTTGACGGTGTCATAGGCCCGCTTGAATTACTTCCCCACAGATGTTTGCAATTCCACTATGTACCCTGTTAGCTGCAGTGACACCTACTGATCTAGGGCAACTGAAATGACCAAGAAATCCAAATTGCAGAATTTAGCCAGCAAGCTGCTTAGGGTTCCACCCACCAGATGTTTCTCCTGCTTAGAAGTCTGGGACTTTATAGACCTGCCTGCTTTTTAATCCTTGAAGCAAATATCAACACATTTGAGATCTGGAAGCTCACGGCTCCACACGGAAATAAAGTGTTGCCATGACCACAGCTTTCGGTCTTGGGTAAGACGTTTATCCCAAGTATAACAGAGCAGGCCTATAGGAGGTTTGTTTTAATTTTTATCCCTTGGAAGCCTTGAAAAGAAGCATACACATGCTTTATTTTTAAATGTTGTTATAGCAAATAGAATGGTAATAAATACTGCCAGATGACAACACACCATTTGGTATTCAGAGACTTCATTCATTTAATGCTTCTAAGGGGAAAAATTTTAGTAATTTGCACGGCACCCTTTGAAATTAATAGAAATAAGGTAGTTCCTCACTCTTGCACAGCATGTTTTCAACTGTTGCATATGGGCTTTTCCCATAAGGATGAAACACACTGAGGTCTGATCACATCAAGAAAATCCCTTTGTGCTTTTGTTTACAGGGGGACTATGCTCTGAGTAGTTGGAATATTACTTTTCTCAACTGAAAAGTATACTAAGGTTATTAGGGCTTTAACTTCTTTAACAGTACTTTTCAGGCATTTACAGTGGATAGTCAGAGAACTGAGGCAGTCACTCAACTTGGGAAGATATGGATTGACTTCCTTACTGTCATTATGATTACAGTTGGCTTCATTTGACATAAATTGATTATAGATGGTTACAGAATAGCAGAATACAGCTGATCCGTTTGTTTTCAGGTCTTCTAGTTATGTTTGTCCATTTGTTATGTAAGGTTTTTAGATAAAAATTGTATCTGGTATTAAGCTGAAGAGAATTTTGCTGTGCACAGTATAGCAAAACAGACGTAAAGATGTCTGCCATTTATTTTTCACTTTGGTTTTTTTTTCATTCTGTTTTTTCGTTTGTTATTATTTTTTCACTAATGTTTTTATTCTTCTGACAATAGTATTAATATGGAAGGTAGATTTTACCACAATCCAATTATTTGTTGCCTGGAGAACTGGAAACTTCAAATCCTAAAGCCATTCAGTTCTCATAGAATTTTAATGTGGATTTGATTAACTTCAGAGTATAATTTTGACAGTAGATTTTATCCTGTCCTTCTTGAAATCAGTGGAGGGCTTCACACTGATATCAGTGAGAACACGATCAATCCCATTTGGGCAGCAGGTACTCTTCTGTGTTTTTTGTTCCTATAAGCAGTGGAGAACAATTAAGTCTGTAGTGCACAAACCCATGCAAAATTACAATGGGTGGAAGTTAATTTCATCATTGGAAGCCCATGGCAATTAAAACGCATGAGTGAGCAGACTACAAATTTTAGGACAGGGTGTATAAATTCAGGCAAAAAATTCATGTACAAATTCAGTCTACTGTATATTGCTTTTCTTAACAGTGTTGAATTTTTGCTGCTTTTATTTTGTAATGTTTGTGCAAGATTTTTGTTGAGCTGAAAAACATATTACAATAATAATAAAAGAGAATGGATTTTTATGGTATAGCAATGTGCAAAAGAGGCCAAAAATCTGAACATTTCCCTAGCCTGGAGCTATATGCTGTATACTTAATGTTAACAGGTAAAAATTGTAAGCCTGCACAAATCCCATCTGAAGCCAAAAATAATTTTAAAAAAAGTTGTTTTCATCAAGACCAACTCAATATTCCCAAGTTATAATTACACTGGAACTTGCCAATTTTCTGGCAAGAGCAGCTCTACCAGAAAACAGCACTATTTTTGCTGAGAGTTGTCATGTTGGCAGCTATTACAATCAAAATTGTCACTTTATTTTCTTTAAAATGTATTTCCCTAGTAAGCAAGAAATAAAACCTAGACTTGAAAGGGACGTATGCTAAAGATATGGTTTTTTTTTTTTACATTTCTTTCGAGTATGCTACATATCCAGCTTCAACTCCCTACAGCAATACAGAATGCCCAGGAATAATGTTTTCAGAATCAATACATACTACAGTCGAACATGAGACTCCACAAACCCATAATTGCAACTGTGGGAGAAAAGCAGGCAGCCTGAATACCAGAGTTGCGTTATGACCAAGATGCAAGTGCTAATACAGCCTCTCTGGAGAAAACTGCCAGGAGACCTTCCCAGCATGTGCAAGTGTTAGAAAGCCAGGGGTGTTTCAGGTGCCGGCTGCTGGTGCGCATCCCTGGGTGCGTCATTGTTTGGCTGCCTGACATCTCTGTAGAGAGCAATATATGTGGAGTTTCATCTAGCTTTTCTTTTTCGCCTGGATCATCTTCTGTCTGTGAGCCCTTCTCACTTTGTATCTTCTCTGTACATACAACCTCTGTCTCCTGTGTTTCCCGACTGCCGCCTTCACTGCCACCACCCACCTCTGTCGGGGTTTGTGGCTCCACAGTCTCTTGGGGCTGCTAGAACTAAGAAAGCAGCAGTGGAATCAGTGTACCGCTCTATAATCAGGAAAAGCAAAAGCAAGGAAAGTATCTCCTGTCTTTCTGGAAGAAATGAGTAAGAACCATAAAAAAAGAAATGAAGATTGTTTGTAGGTGGGGTGTATGTCTATTTTGATCAAAGGATCCCTCAAAGAATGTAAGATACCATCTATCTCTATTGCTGCACATAAGAAAAAGGAAGAGAAAACCATGCACTAAGACTCTTCCTACTGTCCAGCACAGTCCATGGCAGAGACACGATAAAGCATCTCATGTTACTACCTGTAGTATTCACCCTTTTTCTCATTAGCACCACACGCTACATGTCTGTCTCTCACACCCATCATTCCTTTTCTAACTGAGTTCTTACTGTCTGGAAGACTTGCTGCAGAGTGCCTAAGAACTTTATTTCACCACAAGCTCAAAATCACTGATTAAATTCACAAAAAATTTGGATCATTAACTTATGAGCCTGACAGAGTATTTGCAAGATTACTGCTTTGGTCAGAGGAGAAACCTAAATTCAATGATTTACAGCTTAAGTATATGCACAGTAGTTCAGCTATTCCACTTGAGGCAGTTTGGGCTGACGCGAAGAATAAAAAGGGTGAAAGAAAGATCACCAGGGCAGTGCTGCGGATTTTCACAGAAGAGTTTGCAGTTTTGAGTCAGAGTAATTAGTTTGCAATATGGTATATTTAATGAAGAAATCATTACTTTTCTTTACATTGTTGTCATGCGTGCAAGGACATGCTGATTTCCATGGGAAGACACAGATTGATCCTTTACTTACTTGTGCAACTGAGCACTTCAAATTGGGGAAGAGGAGGGGAGGTTTTGATACTTTTTGGCCCGTAATTCATGAGCATTCTTGACATATTTGACCCCGGTATTTGTCTAGCTCCGTCAAAAATGAAATGTATTTCACCAGTTCGGTCACCTTTTGTAGTCTGCATAAAGCAGACTTACATTGTGCATATTTGCACAATGTATACAACAGTGGACCCACAAACTGACCAGGGTCTCTGGAGGACTTTCACAGCATAAATATTACATGATAGTATATTACTAGGTAGAAAGAAAAACTCAGAAATACTTTAAAAAAGGTCTCTTATGAACTGTTTAGTTTGTACCCTTAGAATACAGCAAGGTTTTATTCTTTACAATTGGGTCTTCATTTAAACAAAGAACAAATCCTTAAATTAAGGCCAGACACGAATGAGAGACGATAGTTACTGATAAGAGTAGAACACATTGTCCAGCCTGGGTGCTGACACCACAGCTGCTGCAGATTACTTTCAGAGAGCTGTTCTGTGGTAAGAACCACTTTCAGCCACTTAAAAAAGTGCCGTATTAATAGTTCAGCGCTGCAGTGCTATGCGTTTCAGGTTTGGTGGGGCTTTTCAACATTGTTTCAAGCAATAGGTTTTGCAAGTACAGGATCTAAATCAGTTTATAGTCAGTCTTACCTATTGTGTATGTCCCATTTAATACTGATAACTTATTTTGCAGTGTGGGAAGTTTTATGAGTGACTAGGATAAAAACAGTGTTTTGATTGCCCAAGATTTCTGTGGTTTATGATAGATAAGTACTGTTTTTTTCTTCTGGTTGTTATTTCCTCCTGACTCCTTTGTTGATATCTTAAACAGATTTGGAAAGAAAAAAGAAGATAAAAGTGGGAAAACAGATCAGAAGGGCAATCCAAAGCAAGGCATACTTAAAGAGGAGGAGCTGGAGAAAATGAAAGATGAACGTGAAAGGTGAGTAAATGGTGGCAGCATCTTTGCTCATCAGATGAAAATCTTCAAAGCAAGGGATTGTTCGAAGGGACAAGACAGCCAGCCTGGCTGGAGATGTCCCATACCATGCCTGCGGGCAGTCAGGTCCAGGCAATGCAGAGCTTTAGGCCGGTCTCCTAGCCAAGTCGGGGCTGCTGTATGACAGGACCTTGTCTGTCTCCTGTGTTTTCTGAGTTCTCCTCAACGTGAGCTGGCAATGTGTGCTTGCAGCCCAGAAGGTCAACCGCATCCTGGGCTGCATCAGAAGCAGCGTGGCCAGCAGGGCGAGGGAGGGGATTCTGCCCCTTTACTCCGCTCTCGTGAGAGCCCACCTGGAGTACTGCATCCAGCTCTGGAGCCTCCAGCAGAAGAACAACATGGATGTGTTGGAGCAGGTCCAGAGGAGGGCCACGAAGATGATCAGAGGGCTGGAGCACCTCTCCTATGATGACAGGCTGAGGGAGTTGGGGCTGTTCTGCCTGGAGAAGAAAAGGCTCCGGGGTGACCTTATAGCAGCCTTCCAGTAGTTAAAGGGGGCCTACAAGAAAGCTGGAGAGGGACTTTTTACAAGGACTTGGAGTGATAGGACAAGGGGTCACGGCTTTGAACTGAGAGAGGGTAGGTTTAGACTGGATATAAGAGATAAATTCTTTACTCTGAGGGTGGTAAGGCACTGGAACAGGTTGCCCAGAGAAGCTGTGGCTGCCCCCTCCCTGGCAGTGCTCAAGGCCGGGCTGGATGAAGCTCTGAGCAACCTGGTCTAGTGGAAGATGTCCCGGCTCATGCCAGGGGAGTTGGAACCAGATGATCTTTAAGGTCCCTTCCAACCTTTACCATTCTATGATTCTGTGATTCTCTGGGGATCTGAATAGCAGCTAGCAAACTTCTGCTAAGCTCATGAAGACCAGTTCCTTCAAAACCTGCTTCACCTCTGCGCATTCCCAAGACCAGCTGGCTTAGTGATCTTTTTTCTCTGCTTCTCTAAAGCAAGAACCTCCTCAATTCTCTCCTGACAGCCTCTCTGTTTTCCTGGCTGTGCCATCAAATGGTAGTTTTGTACTTAGGTATGTTCTTTTCTGCACAGCATTCGCTGGTTAGCTACGTGTTGCAGAAATATCTACTCAGCAAATGCTGAGTGTGCCAAGAGACAGCAGGCATAAAGCAGGTTC